TATATAATGTAATTTATTTTCATTGTCTTCACCTAAATTTGCATGAATGATTCACTTGAAGAAAGATATATTTTGACTTGTATATGTATTTTGGCGTTTTATTAAAATATATAGCGATGTCATGACGTTAGGCGACGTCTAGTCAGTTAGTTTTGAGAAGTTATAAATAGATTGCATATATATATATATATATATATATATATATATATATATATATATATATATATATATATATATATATATATATATATATATATATATATATATATAACTACAGACGGTACCGTTTCGGCCTTTTGGGCCTCATCAGTGTAGTGCTGATGAGCAGGATGAAAGTAACCACTATAAATAGTTACCTTTGATGTCTCACGAATGTGGGACATCAAACCATTGCCAGAGTGCTCAAACTGCAAGCAGTGAGCATGCGCACAATGCGAAAGCAGCAATGGCTCATCCTGTAGAGTGCTCAATATGACACAAAGGCCATAGAGCAATATCTAGCTACAGACGGTACCGTTTCGGCCTTCTGGGCCTCATCAGTGTAGTGCTGATGAGCAGGATGAAAGTAACCACTATAAATAGTTACCTTTGATGTCTCGCGAATGTGGGACATCAAACCATTGCCAGAGTGCTCAAACTGCAAGCAGTGAGCATGCGCACAATGCGTAAGCAGCAATGGCTCATCCTGTAGAGTGCTCAATATGACACAAAGGCCATAGAGCAATATCTAACTACAGACGGTACCGTTTCGGCCTTTTGGGCCTCATATGAGCAGGATGAAAGTAACCACTATAAATAGTTACCTTTGATATATATTACAGCATATATAATACGCAAAAAAATTGCCAATGGTAATTTTGTCTTGTATATACTTGGCTGATTCAGTTCATTTATTGAGGCTAATCCTTCTAACTTCTAGTTGCAGATCACTGATTTACTGACCGAGATGTAAATCACCCCTAAGAATAAAAGAAATGAAATTATCGTACTATTTTTCCTAATTCCTTTTTATATACTGTTATTTTATACTGTATTTTTTATTTTGTTCTAATCTGATTTTATTCATACTGTAATTTTTAAATTCTCCGATTGCCGCCACACCACTCTAATTATAATTTCGTTTCGTTCGATTTTAATTTATGAATTTCTAACGATTTCCAATATTTCTATATACTCGATAGGTATCGCGCTATTGTTTCACCTCCTGGGAAACGTCTACAATTGCATCATGCTCGATGGTTGCTTCTTGCCGTTTGGATTGTATCATTCGCAATGGCCCTTGCTCCATTAACGTTTTTGGGTGAATACAAACGGAATACGAAAAGCACCAATTGTCGTCCTGTAGGGCAGGGTTATATACCACTCTTATCCGTGGCATGTTTCCTGTCTCCTTTCGTAACCATGACATATTGTTATTTAAAGGTTTATCTTAAAGTCAGAAGGCAACGAATACAGCTTCAATCATGGACATCGAACAGCACCAACATGAAAACGGAACTAAAAACTGCCAAAATTGTCTTCACAGTTTTAGCGGTGTTCCTCGTTTGCTGGTTACCATTCGTTACGGTTTATATCTTGTCAAACAGCGGCAAATCGCAGGATATTTCTCCAGTGATATTTCTGTTAAGTGGTTGTTTGTCAGCAGCACATTCTGTATGTAATCCAGTCATCTACTTTACCATGAACAGATCATTCAGGAATGATTTGATGGCCTGGTTTCCTGGTGTACGCAAATTCTTTAACAAACGAGATGCGGTTACACATGCAGCAACAAAAAGCAACAATGCTGCTGCTGTAATGGAAATAAAGGTGAACGAAGAAAGCTATAGAAACGTTAGAATACGTTAATGGCACTGTACTACTGAAGTCTACGTATACTAGATAAAACATGAGCAGCCGATCTGTATCTGATATACAAACTCGTGCCGAAGGCGAGAGTTTGTATATCAGATACAGATCGGATGCGAATGTTTTATCGTACCTAAAAATTGACCCATCTTATGAGTTCATTGGCGAAGTAATTTTAAAATAAACATTGTCTATAGTATAAGCCGAGAAAATCAAAGCTGAAGTTTATGTAAATCAGGACAAATCTTTATCCGATTTACAAACATTGATTAAACATTCATTTCGTTTGTATTTTCCTCGTGAATTATTAATGATTTTTTTAAACTATATTAAAGAAAAACAAAGTATTGGTGTTAATCTTGCGGTATCATCTTGCGGCTTAAGAACTAATTATGGCAAGTTTACTTTCAAATATACTGCATCAGTGCTATGGGAAACTATACCTTATCACATGAAGCATCTCCCTTATAAGACTTTTAAACGAAAGTATATGTTGTATTTAGTATATGTTATATAAGTCAGCAGAACGACGATTAGCTCCAATTGGTGAAAAGAACACTGTTTTGTTTTTTATTTTGTTTTTCCAAGAAAATTAGTGTTTTTGATATCTATGAACATCTGTGGTGATTTCATCTTAGCACGATTCTAATTTGTATTTCTATTTGCATATTTCTAGCATGGTCTATGGATCTGCGTAGATCATCATTCCTTCAAATCTTTTTGTGTGTGTTTTTCTTTCTTTCTAATATTCTTATAATTAGCTCAAATACACTAAAAAATCTCACATAGACAGCAGTCAACTCGAAAGCTTCTTGCTACTTTGACTACTGGGCATAATTTAACTAAGTTATCATTTTTTCTATTATAATAAGTAATTTTAACTATTTTTTTTGTAATGTTTGTACGTTCTTGAATTTTTTTTTGTATATATTGCAAATCATTAAAAATCTGAAATCTGAAAGGCCCACATGGCAGGGAAATAATTAACCATTTCACTAATTTTCTCACATGTGGAAGAGGGATTCAATATATTTCAAAACCTTTCTACAGATTTTCTGTGTCATTCTTGGTATTAAAAATCATACATTTCAAATAAAATCGTCATGCTTTCCGCCATCTTGGACATGTATATCCTCGTCAGACAGGTCGTCGGATATATGCGCATGGCGTTACAACCAGGGTAACACTATTTTGTATCTTGAGCAATTCTCAAGCCATTTTAATGCTAAATGTTATTTTTCCCCTTTGCCTAAAATTAAAGCGCAAGCTATGTATAAACTATCCCCTGATATTTTTTATTTTCAAAATTTCTACATTGGTTGTGACGGCATTTAAATAGATCCAATTATAAACAAGATGGCGGATGGCAGGGTATTTTGGTTTCAAATATCATGATTTTTTCAAACTAGGCAAACACAATTTTTGTTGCAACTTGCACAATTTTTGTCGCAACTCGCAGACTCGCAACTCGCAGACTCGCAACTCGAAGACTCGTAACTCGCAGACTCGCAACTCGCATGCTGACTCGCAAACTAGACAAACTCCAAAATAACATACTACAGTAGATAATTCGGAAGTTCATTGTTATATAGTTAAATCAATAATCTTTCAACTATTTTTGGCGTGTGGTTAAAAAAATATAAGAATTAAAATTGTCGTGTTGCTGCGGCAACACTGACGTATGCGAGCCTGCGTTCAGTGTTGATCAATTCCACTACAGTACTTCATGTAAGTCAATGTTTGGAAAATATAGGCGATATACAGGGTGTATCAAAATAAACGCAATTCATCTTTTGTGCTTAATAACTTTCGAAATACTATTTCTAGTTAAACGCTTTTAGGCTTACTTCAAAGCCTGTTCTTTTCTGTTTCAAACAAACTATTATCCTTGTCTCCAATGCTAGTAAACAGGTGGGAAATTTGTCGTCGCTGACCAAAAAATCGCGGGCAGAAACAAAGCTCATTGCATTTACATTCAAAACAAAGCAGAAAGTTAGCAAGAAGCTGTTTTAGCTGACGATTTTTTGCTTTCCATTCAACACTTTACAAATTAACAGTTAGTCTTTTAAAAATCGATCATGAATTCCTTGTTTTCGGAATCGATTCTTTTTGTAATCGAGTGATTGGAAGAAGTGAATATGGCGACGTGAACATGGGAGTAAATACCGTATACGTCGAGCTGTGGCTTGTTTAAAACCGTAATAAACGAAGAAAGACGTGATATGAGAATGAAATGTAAGTTGAAATTAACTTTATATGCCTCAAATTTATCGTCCTATGTTTCTTAATGTAACTTCATCTGTCTAAGTTCAAAATACAAGCTCGCGAAATTTGACAAATTTTGAAAATATGTAAAAATAGCTTGACTTTGAACTGTATTTTCTCAAAAATAGCCCGTGGCCTCAATTTCAAATATAGCTAAATGAAAAGAAAAAGCTTTTCGGCGTTTGTAGGTATCAAACATATCGTCAGGAAAATAGGGGCTCACAATATTTTAGCTACGTCTTTGAGACCCAGTTGTTTCGCACGTGTTGTGGTCAAATTTTTGCCAAGAATCAAAGGCCGAAATGTGAACTTCCTTCTTGAAAACCGCTTCGAGAAGGGTCTAGCTTGAAGATTTAGCTATTAATTTCGATTTCATGAGCATATTTTGGTTACACGTTAAATATTTTTGTACTTGATGAGATTCAAAATTTGTTGTATATTCAAGTCCGGCTTTAGTGTAATTTTGGTGATGGCCGCGGAACAGAAATAAAGATATTTTAAAAACTGGCCGTGGCCTCACGATAAAACTTTCTAAAAATGTTCTTATGTATTTTTATTTGATATCTTAGGTATGGGCGTAAAAATAGGGGCTCATACAGTTTACGAGGTTCTAAAATGCATGACTTGCCTCTATTTTCATGTAAACATTCGAAATTTTTCGACAGCAAAGTAGCGATTGTTTCAGATCGAATACATGCGGACAGCACACCAGGGACAATGGCAGGGTACTGAAATAGAACGTCACTAAAAAATTCTGCATGATTAATTTAGATCATGTCCATTTTCAACATAAAACAGTCATTTATTTTGTACAAACATTTGGCAATATTTACACGATTGTGCCTTTTTGTAAACACGCGTTGCGTGTATTCCACGCAATTGCGTGTCTCATTTTGCTCGCGCATGCTCAGACAAATTTCCCACCTGTTATGCTAGTAATAATTGCACAGGAAAAGATTTAGTAAAACCTATCATTTTTAGTTGCTGTTTAATTATGCAAGTTTACTATGTTATTGTTTAGTCGGTTTAAATGTTAGAATTTTCTTCTTTAAACGTTAATGTTGTCGTCACTACATCTGGAAAACCACGTAAGAACAAATTAAAAGTATTTTAAAAGAGACCAGGTTGTTTGAAAATCCTAAACGAATGCTAAAATCGTCAAAACATTCTGGTGCCTGAGCCAGAGTGTCATCGAATTGCGATGTAATGTAAACAGAAATTATAGCAAGCTGATGTCAGTCAGCTTAGATGGTCCAAGCCAAAATTATATCGCATTCGAAGTTTCAAACTGAGTTAAAAATAGTGGAAGAAAAGCCGTAATTATACTTATTGTTACAATCCATTTAATAAAATGCAACATTTTTTTGTTTTAATGAAAAAATCAGTTATTTTCATGACAACGATTTGTTAATCCATATCTCAATAACGCAATAACGTAGAAGTTTAAGAAACAACCCACTGTTAGAAAGCTGAATGGCTATACGCTTTAAAATGAATGTAAACTTTAACGTTTTCGTCTATTATTTGTTTAGCAATTTACATTTCAGTCGAGGATTGCACTTTTTTTGATACACCCTGTATATACATATACATATATGTATATAATATATATATATATATATATATATATATATATATATATATATATATATATATATATATATATATATATATATATATATATATATATATATATATATATATATATATATATATATATATATATATATATATATATATATGGCTTTACGCATTGAAGCACTAACCTCCAAAATGCAACTAACATCATAACTAACAAGTCGTTCTCAGCTTGACTTTGTAGCTTAGACAGTAGAGCATCGTCCTAGAAATGCGAAGGTCGCGGGTTCGAATCCCAGCCGCGGTCAAGTAGAATTTTCTGCTTTCCCGGTTTGGTATATACACTCGTCTGAAAACAACTCAAAAACCGCTACATAACTTTACACGAGTGGAATCGTAAACGTGGGAAACATGCACAACATTTATATATATATATATATATATATATATATATATATATATATATATATATATATATATATATATATATATATATATAGCGCAATCCTCGACTGAAATGTAAATTGCTAAACAAATAATAGACGAAAACGTTAAAGTTTACATTCATTTTAAAGCGTAGCCATGCATTCAGCTTTCTAACAGTGGGTTGTTTCTTAAACTTCTACGTTATTGCGATTGGAGATTAAAAAAATTGAGATATGGAATAACAAATCGTTCTCATGAAAATAACAGATTTTTTCATTAAAACAAAAAAATGTTGCATTTTATTAAATGGATTGTAACAATAAGTATAATTACGGCTTTTTTTCCACTATTTTTAACTCAGTTTGAAACTTCAAATGCGATA